TTGCGAGGAAGTCTCAAGCGGGAGCGCCGTTCCTGAGTAAATTGTGAAGAAGTCTCAGATGGGAGCGGGGGTCCTGACTAAATTGCGAGGATACCACAGGCGGGAGCACCGATCCTGACTAAATTGTGAGGAAGCCTCAGGAGCGGGGGTCCTGGCTAAATTGTGAAGACGTCTCAGGCGGGAGCCATTGTTGTTGTAATCCTGGGGGCCCGGGGCCCAGTTTGAGCACGAAGACTTTCCCTGTCAAAATCCCGGGTGCGAGCGTCGAGGGGCACATTTTGATTGAGGAAAAAACACTATGCACCGACGAGGGGGGATCAACAAGAATTATTCTCCAGAAATGAAAGTTCAACAACAACGACCACAACAATAAGATTTTTCAAAGGTATCTGCTCGCGGGCCACTCATCACGTGTACCCTGCACCCTCGATAGCCGCACTCTTCGTCTTCGATCGTACCCCCTTGGGTGTACATATCTTTCTTCCCTGCAACGTGTGTTTCGTACAGCCCCTAATACAGGAGAAGAGAGGACGGATGGAAGGAAGGGACACGGGGGAGGGAGGAGGATAGAGCACGAGAGAGAGAAGCAGGAGGGGTGCTAGAAGCAGATGGCAGAAACAGACGGGCAGATCGGGCAGGTAGGCCCTAACGGGCGGGTCGGGAAAGCGGGCCCAGGCAGCCAAGTCGAGCAGGTGGGTTGCTGAAGCGTGGGCCCTGCATGAATCGCGGGGAAGTCTCTAGCGACATCGCGATTCCTCAAGAAATCGTGAGGAGATCCACAGCGAGAGCGTGATTCCTGAGTGCCGAAGGCGCGGCGTCTGAAGAAATTGCACAGAGGGCCCACGCGAGAGCGCGATTCCTGCATAAGTTGTCAGGAAGTCCCGCGCGAGAGCGCGACTTGGGAATCAACTGTGAGGAAGTATCAGGCGGGAGCCGCTGTTGTTGTAAACCGGGGCCCAAACAACCCAGTTTGGTGACACCTGGGTTGCCCTGCAAAAACAGAGTGCGAGCCCCAGGGAGGGCAAGTCAATTGAAACATACAATGATTACAGAAGGGGGGATCAACAATAACTATTCTTCAGTCGTGAGAATTCAACAACGTCAAGAACAACAGCAGCAACAACAACAGTAATGTTAGACTGTTCGCTCCTATCTGCTCGCGTGCCACTCATCACGTATATCCCGCGCCCTCGATACCCGCCCCCGTCGTCTGCGATCGTACCATCTTAGGGGTACATATTTCTTACCTGCAACGTGCAGTTCGTGCAGCCCCTGAGGCAAGGGAAGAGAGGACGGATGGAAGAAAGGGATAAGTGGGAGGGAAGAGGATGGAGCACGAGAGAGAGTAGCAGGAGGGGGGCTAGAAGCAGAAAACACATGGCAGAACCAGACGGGCAGATCGGGCAAGTGGGCCCCAACGGGCGGGTCGGGAAAGCGGGCCCAGACGGCCAGGTCGAGCAGGCGGGTTGCTGACGCGTGCGTCCTGCATGAATCGCAAGGAAAACTCTAGCAACAGCGCGATTCCTGATTTAATAATGAGGAAACCCAAAGCGAGAATGTGACTCCTGAATGTCGAGAGCGCGGCGTCTGAATAAATTGCAAGGAGGTCCCACGCGAGAGCGCGATTTCTGCAGAAGTTGTGAGGGAGTCCCGCGCGAGAGCACGATTTGGGAATAAATTGAGGAAATATTAGGCGGGAGCCGTTGTTGTTGTAAACCAAGGACCAAAGACACAATTCTGAAACCCAAGACTCTTTCCCTGATGAAAAAACAGGGTGGGAGCTCCAGGAATGGCAGTTCAATTGAAACATGCAATGTGCCCCGGACGGGGGGGGTCAACACACATTATGGTCAACATCAACAACAGAACAACAACAACAACAACAACAACAACAACAACAACAACATCATCATCATCATCAACAACAACAACAGCAGCAGCAGCAACGACGACGACGACGACAACAACGACGACGACGACGACAACAACAACAACAACAACAACAACAACAACAATCATGTTAAGATTGTTCGCTCTTATCTTCTCGAGTGTCATTCAGCGTGCATTTCCCGAACCTTGGATACCCGACCTCTTCGTCTTCGATTATACCACTTTTGGTGGGTATTTATTTCTTCGTGAATTCTGCGTGACTAGCCAGGAAGTTTCCAGCGAAAGAGCAATTCCTAAGTAAATTTGAAGACGTCCCCAGCGAACGCGCGATTCCTGAATGGCAAGAACGCGGCGCCTGAGTAAATTGCGACGAACTCTCAGGCGGGAGCGCAATTCTTGAGTAAAATGCAAGGAAGTCTCAAGCGGGAGCTCGAGGAGGTATCAAGCGGGAGCCGTTGTTGTTGTTATAAACCGGGGACCAGGGGCACAGTTTGAGGAGGAAGACTTTCCCTGGTAAAAAAAAAGGTGCGAGCGCCGGGAGGAGCACTTCAATTGAAAAAAAAAAACGTGCACCGGAGGGGGGGGGATCAATCAACAGTTTTTTTTTCAGTAGTGAGAGTTCAACAACAACAACAACAACAACAACAACAACAACAACAATAATCATTTTAAGACTGTTCGCTCCTACCTGCTTACGTACAAATCAATACGTATACCCCAAACCCTCGGCACACGCCCTCGTCATTTTCGATCGTACCCCCTTGGAGGTACATCTTCCTTACCAGCCACGTGCATTTAGTGCAGCCCCTGAGGCAAGGGAAAAGAGGACGGGTGGAAGGGGGAGGGCGAAGAATGGAGCACGAGAGAAATTAGCAGGAGGGGGGCAATGATCAGAAAACAGACGGTACAACCAGACGGGCAGATCGGGTGGGCAGACCCATAGCGGGCAGGTCGGGAAGGCGGGCCCAGGTGACCAGGTCGAGCAGGATGGTTGCTGAAGCGTGGGTCCCGCATGAATCGCGAGGAAGTCTCGAGCGACAGCGCGATTCCTAAAGGAATCGTGAGAAAGGCCAAAGGGAAAGCGTGATTCCTGGGCGCCGAGGACGCCGAGAGCGCGACTTGAGAACAAATTGTGGAAGTATCAGGCGGGAGCTGTTGTTCTTGTTGTTGTTGTAAACTGGGGGCCAGGGGCTCAGTTTGAGCCCCGTGACTTCCCCTGATAAAAAAAACAAGGTGCGAGCCCCAAGGGACGCACTTCAATTGAAAAAACACAATGGTCACCGGAGGGGGGGGATCAGCAAGAATGATTCCTCAGTAGTGAAAGGTCAACCACCACCACCACCACCCACCACCACAAGCAGAACCACAACCACAATCTCAACAACAACAACAACAACAACAAAACCCACAATAACGACAACAACAACACCAACAGCAATAACAACAACAACAACAACAACAGCAGCAGCAGCAGCAGCAACAACGGCAACAACCGCAACAACGACAACAACAACAACAACAACAACAACAACAGCAGCAACAGCAACAACAACAACAATAGCCACAACAACAACAACAACAGCAGCAACAACAACAACAACAACAACAGCAACAGCAACAACAACAACAACAACAACAACAATCATTTTACCCGAACGCGTGGTGTTCTCCCCAGTGCCAGGGTTTTCATACGACACCAGGCAATACCCCCACTTCGTGGGGGGGCATTACAAGCTCTACCAAATATCCAAACGACTCTTCGCGACCACCCAAACCCAGCTTCCCGCCCTATGACGTTGGGACACTTCACTTCGTGGCGTGCGGACGACCGTGGCTACTACACTGGCGTGGGGTACACACCCACAGAACTTGGTCACTTATTCGGGGCGCGCATGTGCCCAGCATGGTGCAATTGTGCCATACAATACATAATACAGAGAGACAGAGAGAGAGACAGAGAGCAGACAGAGAGAGAGACAGAGAGAGCGGAGTTGGTCACATTTTTGGGGTCCTCTTGGGGAAGGGGGGAAGCCTCCTGGCGCCGCTTGGGGTCCTCTTGAGGGGCTTTGGGGGGCTTCTTGGAAGCATCTTGGGGCCTCTTGGGGGCTTATTGGGTCCTCACGGCGGGCTCTTGGGGCCTCTTGAAGGCCTCCTGGGGCAACCTATGGCGCAACCAGTAGGGGGACGTTTTATTCTCGGCGGCCGAGGGCGCAACCTATGGCGCAACCAATAGGGGGGCGTTTTATTCTCGGCGGCCGAGGGCGCAACCTATGGCGCAACCGCAAGGGATTATGGCCCCTGGCAGGCGCGCGAACCCCGTTGCAAGAGCGTGCGAAAGTAGCTCGCGCGAGCTCATGTAACATAAATGTTGGAAAACCATTGGTTTTTTTAGGATTCGGACAGCGCGCGCGGGTGGAAATTTTGAAAAGTCGTGCAGGTGTTTTTCGAGGACCTACGGTGCGATTCGTGTGATTTTATGATGCGCGGTGCTAAAATTCTTAAGAACCCAATGGTTTTTGGAGATTTCGGCGTGCGCGCGCAAAAAACGAATGTGTCCCGCATGGTATTATTTGACAGGGATGATGGCCCTGGCAGGTGCGCAACCGTTGTCGCAGAAGTTCGAAAAAGTTGCTCGCAAAAGCCCGTTTGACAGAAATGTTTAAAAAGTGTTGGGTTTCCTACGAATCCGCAAGAGCGCGCGGGATGAGATTTTGACATTTTTTTGTTGAAAAACCATTGGTTTTTTGATGTTTTTATGTTAAAATCGCTCCGAACACTAAGCTTTTGGAAGGATTTCGTCTTGCGCGCGCGAATGTCCACTTTACCTTATTTTTTGCAAGGGATTCTTGAAATTTGATTATATTAGAACAAGAAATGTCATTTTATAGTGTTTTTTGCAAGGGAAAACGGATTACAACAAAACAACCGGATCTGGACCCCATCCACTTTTCTGAAGCTTTCGCGAAAAAATGATGAAAATGTAGCTGCGGCCTAGGCGCGGCGGGGGGGCCGTGCACCAGGGGTCCCAACAATAATTATTCTTTAGAATTAATAATGTTCAACAACGGCGGCGGCGGCGGCGGCGGCGGCGGCGGCGTGCGGGCCGAGGCCTGCCGAGGCGGCTGATCGCGAGCGAGGCCTGCTGCGACCTCGCGCGGGCGGCCATCCGCGCCAGCCAGCGCACGCCTCGGCGAGGCCCCGCGCGGGGGGGGGCGGGGGGAAGGGGGCGGGGAGGAGGCGGGGCAAGAGGCGGGGAAGAGGCGGGGAAGAGGCGGTACAGTCGGGGCGTTGACCTGAGGAACCCTGAGTAGGGAGCGAGGCCCCTTTTGTCCATCAGCTAACCTTCGATTTCCTGTCGGAAACATAAGGAAAGCCTGAGGCAAGCTGTGAAACACTTAAGGGACGCGGAGCCCCTCCCCAACGAAAAGGGTTCCTTCTTCAGGGCCCCGACTGTAGGGGGGGGAGAGGCGAGGGGGGAAGACGCCGGGGGAGGAGGGGGGGGAGAAGCGGCCGGAAGAAGGGGCGAGGGGGGAAGGGGCGGGGGGGAGGGAGGGGGGAGGGGGGCGACGGGAGCAGAGCGCGGATCCTGTGATGGTACCGACGCTGCAGCGGGGGAACCACTCTAGAGAACACCAAGAAAATCTGTCTAAACTAAACGAACATATCACATAACACATGTCAATCCAACGCACTTATGACATGTGTGGGAGACAACTGTCACCGATTGGACAGAATACAGGAAGGGGAGCGTAGATACTCTCCAAAAAAGCCGGCCAATCGGAGTCCTAGCTCAATGCATGGAGAGCTGGTCCACTGGTCCCACCACCCCCTCTATCTTGCCCCAAACAACTGCAATCACGTCCTCTGTAATTGTTATGGTTTCCTCTGCTATTGCAGTGACTTCCTAAAGAGTAGAGAAAAGTGGATGAGTCTAGTAAAGAAGAACATGTTAGAGTAGAGTGGAGTAGAGCAGATCAGGGGTAGAGGACAGCAGAGTAGAGTAGAGTAGAGTAGAGTAGAGTAGAAGCAGAGCAGAGCAGAGCAGAGGTGGAATAGGTTAGAGTAGGGTATGGTAGGGTAGAGTAAAGAAAAACAGGGTAATGTAGAGTAGGGTAGACGGTAGAATAGAGCCGAGCAGGTAGAAGGAAGTCCGGTAGAACAGAATAGAAGAAAATCGGGCAGGTAGAGTAAAGTCGTGTAGGAGGGTGTACAACAGAGTAGACTAGGGTAGAGTAGAGTAGACTAGGGTGGATGGGCACGTGGAGTCGAGTAGAAGAGTAGTTTGGAAGAGTAGAACAGAGTAGAGCAGAGCAGAGCAAAGTAGAGTAGAGCAAAAAAGAGTTGATTATACGATAGTAATACTGTAGAGTGGAGTTAAAGTAGAAGCAGGAGAAGGAGTAGGAGTATACTAGAGTAGGAGTAGAGTAGGGTGGAGAAGAGTAGCGTAGAGTAGAGTATCATAAAAACGAGCGGTGTCGAGTATAGTAAAGTAAGGCAGAGTGAAACAGTGCATAGTAGAGGAGGACAGATGGTAGAGTGGAGTCGAGGAGAATAGAGTAGAGTAGAACAAAGAAGATTCGAGCAGAGAAGGGCAGAGTGCAGTAGAGTAAAGTAGAGGAGAGGAGAGGAGAGGAGGAGAATATGAGAAAATCAGAGTCGAGTAGAACAGAGCACGGCAGAGCAGAGCAGAGTAGGGTAGAGTAGGGTGGGGTAGTAGCGCAGGGTAGCGTAGAGTAGAGCAGAGCAGAGTAGAGTAGGGTAGACCGTAGAGTAGAGTCAGGTGGTAGAGTGGAGTAGTCCGCTCCAGTCTACTCCAAACCAGTCTATTTCAGCACACTCTGGTCTTCTTCAGTCCGGTCTTCTGATCTCTTTAGAATCTGCGCTGGCTGCTATCACATTGAGTAACTCTGGACGGAGGGGAAGGAGGAGGGAGGGGGGAGGAGGGGAGGAGGGGAAGGGGGTAAGAGGCAAAGAAGAGGAGAGGAGGAGGAGGAGGAGGAGGAGGAGGAGGAGGAGGAGGAGGAGGAGGAGGGGGAGAAGGAGGGCGCGGCTACGGCGGACAAGACCGCCGCGTGGCCGCCAGAGTGTGATGAGAAGGAGGAAGGAGGAGGAGGAGGAGGAGCTAGATCGGCCCGCCGTGGGGGCGGCAGCTCGGAAACGGTCGGAAAAGGAGTGCAGATCATCGTGGAGGACCTCTTTGCACAACCGTGGAGGGCACCAGTCCGCAGGAGGCCAGCGACAAGCTCACCCGAAAGAGGAGGAGAGAAAAGAAAACGGAGGAGCAGAAGGCGAGACCGGGTGGCCGGGCTCCGCCCGGAGGAGGAGGAGGCGAGACACGACAAGACCGACCGCACAGAACGTGCGGTTGATGCCTCGACTCGTTCCGTTTGCAACTCCGCCGACCGTTCTCATGCAATGCAGAGGGCAATCGTAAGTTCATGTCCTCCTCCTCCTCCTCCTCCTCCTCCTCCTCCTCCTGCTCCTCCTCCTCCTGCTCCTCCTCCTGCTCCTCCTCCTGCTCCTCCTCCTCCTCCTCCTCCTCCTCCTCCTCCTCCTCCTCCTCCTCCCTCCTCATGACAGGGGATCTGAACAAGCCTCGGAAGCGGCCCGGGGGTCAGCACTCCAAGCTGTGACCCCGGAACATCGGCCGAACCCGTGCAAAATCGGTGCCCAGACCCTTCCAAAGGTCCATCTGGCGCAGTCTTTCACCCAGGATCCGTTTTTCATAATCACGGGGCCCAAAACGGCCCCTGGGGGCAAAACAAAAAAATATCCCGGCAAAGCAACCTAACAGCGATGTGTAGAAGCATAACTGGAAACATTGCCTGTGGCATTCATGTAAGAGCGCTGTTGTAGAATTCTGGTGTTCTCGCAATCGCATTCGGATTCGCAGTGGCAGCCGCACTGGCAACATCAGCGGCAGTCGCAGTGGCACTGCCGGTAGTTGCAGTAGCAATAGCTACACTAGCAGCAGCAACAGCAGCAGCAGCAGTAATAGTAACAGTAGTAGTAGCAGTAGAAGTAGTAGTGATGGTAGTAGTGGTAACAGTGAAGTAGTAGTTGTAGTGCGTGGAGTGAACGAGTAGGAGTGATGGGAGCAGTGGTAGTAGCAGTAGAAACACTGCTTTCGGTAACGGTATCTCCAAATGAGATCTTTGTATAAATGCATTGAGGTCTAAACAAGACACTGCTATCAACGGATGTGATTCCAAACGAGACACAGCTATCAACGGGTTGAGCCTCAAACGACACACTTGCATCAATGAATGTAGCTCCAAAACAGGCACTCCCATGAATGGATTTAGTGTGATGTCGTAGTAGTAGTAGTAGTAGTAGTAGTAGTAGTAGTAGTAGTAGTAGTAGTAGTAGTAGTAGTAGTAGTAGTAGTAGTAGTAGTAGCAGTAGTAGTAATAGTAGTATGGGCACGGACCCGTAAGACCTGAGTCTCCACCGGGGTGCTCGGCGAAGCCATTGATGATGATGATGTGATGATTGAGGAGGGTGATGGGACGATGACCGCGCTACTTGGATTTGTTATGTCCGTCTTTCTCGGCCTCCAACCAAATCTTGGAAGCCATCTCGCAAACGGAAGAGGAGCGCACTGAGGAGCGGCGTGCGAAGCGGACAGTCGGCAAAACTTGCAGGCTGAGAAGCACCGCAGAAACTCGGAGGCTGCGAAGCACCGCGGCCGCGCAGTCCTACTACTGCTGGAACTAGGATTACAAGTACGCACGCCGAGAAGCACCGTGGACACGCGGGCTCGGATACTTCACCTCTCCCGCTTGTATTGCAGGAAATCGCGCCAATCCGGCGGCTGGCAAGTACCGAGGAGGTGCAGGCTGAGAAGCACCGCGCGAGTGCAGGCTGAGAAGCACTACGCGAGTGCAGGCCACGGCATTGCGTGTCACATGAATGCAGGCTGAGAAGCACCACATTTTGTTTGCCAGAGATCACTCCCAGGTCACCTGATCCCGCAACAACAGCCACGGCGTAGCTACCACAGGGGCCGCAGAGAGCAACGGCTCGGTCACCCAATTGGCCTGTCGGTGAATCACAATGCGCGCGTGGCTCCATGAGCCATTGTATCGCGCGTTGCAAGGCACCAGTGTGATGTACGTGTTGCTGCCGTAGCAGAAGACGGCCTCTGGGGCCCAGTGCGGATTCCAGCGGGCAACGTAGACCCTGTGGACGCCATTCCGGATGACGTCGCGCGCACCCTCGATCTGTGCCACCCATCGAAGCCAGTCAAACGCTGAGCCATCGGTGATGTCAACAGCACCTGGGGCAGTCTCGCCATGGCGGTAGTGCAACAGCGTTTGGAGAGCGGCGCTCGCTTCGTCGCGGCCCACAGTCTGGCGCGAGCGGGCGGCCTCTTGTAGGTGCTCCAGTGTGAAGAGCAGTGGGGCATCACCGCCAGGCACGGCAGGCTGAGCAGCGCCACCGCTAGGCATGGTAGGCTGAGCAGCGCTGCCACCAGGTACATCAGGCCGAGCAGCGGCAGGCCCAGGCACCGCAGGCTGAGCAACGGCGCGTGGTGGACCGACATAGGTGGGCTCATCGGGTCGGCCGTTCTTGTGGTAATGCAGGCGCATGGCTGAGCCGTCTGTGCGAACGAACTCAAAGAAATGCCTGCCGTGGCCATCCGTGTTGGAGTAGTTTGGGTCGCACTCTGTCTCGACGATGCGAAAGGGAACCCGGACGACGCCCTGGCCGATTACCCGGTCAGCGAGACCCGGAGCGGCAGACCGAAGCAGTTGCTTCCAGTCGTAGAACGGGTCGTTTGTTACGTCTCTGAACGACACGTCGTTGGCAATGCACTGCGCGCGCAGCGCGCGCTGCCATTGGCAGGCGGTCTTGCCACCCATGCCTGGTGCACGGGGGACCTCTTCGAGGTGAGCTCGCTCAAAAACCACGTCGAAATCTGGCTCAGCAGGCGGTCCGGGCGGAAGCGGCAGAGACTCCTCCGGGACATCAGATGGCGGCGGGGGCGGCGGGGGCGACGCCGCCTTGTCGCGTCCTGGCGTTGCGAGAAAGCAGGCTGAGGAGCACCGCCGCGGCTGGGCGCACGGGTGGATCTCGAGCAAACAAGTGGCTACGGATCTTGTCGCATGTTGATTTGTACAATCAATACTGGAGAGCTAAAAGTGTCCTCAGTCAGTGGTGGCAACGGTAGTACCCCCAGTCGGAGTAGCAGTTGCAATGGCAGTAGCTGCAACAGCAGTAGCTACAGGAGCAGCAGCAGCAGCAGCAACATCAGTAGTACTCTGAAGGGCAGTGGTAATGGTAGTAGTAGTAGGCCCACCAGTGGTACTAGTAGTACGAGCTGGAGTGGTAGGACGATCAGTAGTAATGGTAGCAGTAGAAGTAGTAGTAGAAGTAGCAGAAACAGTAGTAGTACCAAGTACACATTGCTATCCACTAGCGCATGCGTAAACGAGAGACTGCTCGCCATGGATTTAGTCTGGAAAGATGCACTGCTATCACTGATGGATTTGTCTCTGAATGAGACACTGCTGTCAATGGATGTAGATTCGAAGGACTCACTGCTTTCGACAAGTGTACCTCCAGAGGAGACCCTGCTATCAATGGATGTATATCCAATTGAGACACGGCCATCAATGGAGACAGCTCCAAACGATGCATTGTTTTCGATGGATTCTGTTTCTTCAAACGAGACGCTTCTATAAATGGATGCAGGTTCAAACGAGACACTGATATCAACGGATCTTGGTCCAAACGAGACACTGCGATCAATGGATTTAGTGCGGAACGGGACACTGCTATCAATTGGACATGTGTTTGCAAACGAGACACTGCCGACCACCGCAGCATCGACGCGTCTAGAAAAGCAATTGCGGGGTGAGAAGCACCGCAGGCAAAAAGTGAATCTGTTGCGGCGGCGAGCGCAGCCGCCGCGGGGGCTCGTCGACAGCCGCGGCAGCACCTTCGGCACTCACTCCCGCACCCACTGCAGCACGTTTTTCTTGTGCTGAAACAAAAACTTTGCGGTGGTACTCACAAGAGCAATGGCGGGCTGAGAAGCGCTGCGGGCCCAAGTGAGTAATCCCGCACAAGCAGCTACAACAGCAACTGAGGGCTGAGAAGCACCGCAGGCGAAAACAAGTCAGCGGGGGCTGTGAAGCGTGAGACTCGAGGCAAACATCGCTGGCTGACTGCAAGGCGAATCCGAACCCGCCGAGCAAGCGGCGAAAAAGCCTGAGGCACGCGAGGTGCAGCAAGCTGAGAAGCATCGCTGGCAAGACAGCAGCACCTTATGTCAAGCTTTCTCCTGACGGGTGGCCTTCGAGGATTCTGCACTTCTTGGCTGAGTCGGGTGTCTTACTCCACGCATTCATCCGCTTGTGCTCACCAGATTGCTGGAGCTCTGTGCGCATCCCCAGTGTCCTCAATTTCTTGAGAAAGTACTGCGCCTCTGTCACTGCGCCCTCGTCGATGCGGGTTACGTTGCGCACCGTGATAGCATCTTTTGAACAGCCTGCAATGAGCAACAGGCAGACTCTGTGCTTAGCTCTGTTGGGCGGGTTCATCTTGAAGGAGAGCAAGTTGTCTACGGAGCAATAGCCGTGAATGGTCACCGCGCGTGAATTCTCATCGTCAGAGGCGTCCGCCACACCTGGTGTAGACACGAGGAAGCCACTCGCAGTGGACACGCACCGCGACTTCTGTGTGGCGCGAACAAGAGCCACTGCCAAGTGGCAGTTCCGGGCAAGCTGAGAAGCGCCACCTCCGCCACTCGCCGGGGGATGCTCCACGCGCATGCTGTAGAAGGGGCAAGGACGTATCTCTGAGAGGTGCGCCGCGAGCATGGCATCCTGGCTCTCGCGGCACTGCTCCAGGATCTCCAAGACGACATTGTAAGAAGTATTGGGAGCGTGCGATATCTGGAGCGGGGATGCTGCAACCACAGTCGCGTTGACAAAAGTCCGCTCAAGCGTGTCATCGTCTGATCCCGCAGCCACGTGGCGCGCGCGTCGTATTATGCGGCAATTGCCCAAAGGAGGGAGGGAGATAGCTCTCTCATCGTGGACCTTCCGGAACTCGGCCATGGCATCAATGCCACTCAGCGTCAAGGCTGCTGCTTGGGAGACGGCAACTTTGCAGGAGCCACTGAAATCGCGGGCAGTAGCGGTGAAGAATACGCGCTGACCTTTGCTCTCCACCACAGAGTCGCCGGGCTCCGGCTCCTCAAGCCTCATCCCGTCCACCACAGAGTCGCCGGGCTCGGCTCCGACGCCTTGCGCACCCGCTCCGCGCACCGCTGCGCGAATTCCGTGCGTTGCGCAGAGAGGCTGGACACAAGCTCCTTGTAGGCGGCAAGGCGCCGCAGGATTGCCTTGGTCCGGATGTCACTCTCGAGAATCAGCAGGTCCTGGTCGATCCTGTTCTGCGCCTCCTCAGCTAACCCTTCCATTGGGTTTGGAGGGCCCTCCGCCTCCGCGATGCGAGTCATTGCTATGGCTTCGCTCTCCGCTCGCTTGAAGGCCTGGAGCTCGGCGCCCTGCTCCGGGGAGAACTGGTTGGCCTTCCGTGATTTCCGGACTTTCTCTGCCAGCTGCCGCTCTGCGAGGCTACGCCCGGCATACTCCTTCGGGTGGCGGCCGAGGTCTCGCACATGCTGCATGAGCTCCTCGGTCTTGTCTCGCTTTTGCTGCATGAGCTCCTCGGTCTTTTGCTTCCGCTTGAGCTCCTCGGTCTCCGTCTTCTGATCAGCACAGCCCAGGGCCCGCAGTTCATGCAAAATGTCTTTGGGGATGCGGTCGCGATGGTCCGAGAAACGTTTGGCCAACTTGTTTTCGGCCCGTTCTTGTTCGGACGTTCCTTTATTTCGCTTCGGTATCTGGCCGAACTGCTTCACGTGCTCGACGAGCGTTTGCAGAGGACCGCTCAATGCAGCACGCTGAGGAGCAGCGCTGTTCCCTGCCGCACGCTGAGGAGCACCGCTGTTCAATGCAGCAGAGTCAGGAGCACCGCCGCCAGACCGAGAACTATCAGCATGTCCTGGCATCAAGGTGCGCAGTAGGCGCTGCGCAGCTCCTTTGAAAGGAAATCTTCGAAAGCAGGGCTGTAGCCAAGAAGGCTACGGGGACGATGATGATGATGATGATGATGATGATGATGAGATGATGATGATGATGATGATGATGATGATGATGAAAATGATGAGTCTTGGAAGTCTGGGAAGTGGAAAAGCACGAAGTGGCGTAACGTTGGCTCCGGGCATTCAAAATGTGGCCCGGGAGTGGAGATCTGGGAACTGGAAGAACACGAAGTGGCCTACAGTTGGCTCCGGGCGTTCAAAATGTGGCCCGGGAATGGTGTTCTGGGAAGTCCAAGAGCACGAAGTGGCCTACAGTTGGCTCCGGGCATCCAAAATGTGGCCCGGGAATGGAGTTCTGAGAAATCGAAAAACACGAAGTGGCCTAGAGTTGGCTCCGGGCATCCAAAATGTGGCCCGGGAATGGAGTTCTGGGAAGTCGAAGAGCACGAAGTGGCCTACAGTTGGCTCTGGGCATCCAAAATGTGGCCCGGGAATGGAGTTCTGGGAGGTCGAAGAGCACGAAATGTGCGACTGTTTGCTTAAAACGAGCCCGGCCCTCGCCTGTCCGGCTCCCGCCCAGACCCCCCTGGGGAGTCATCAGATGCTCTCTTTTGACCCCATTAGAAACCTATCAGTCTTCGCTGTTACGTAAAAAACGAAACGAACCGAAAACCTCGAACCTGCCCGCCCTTCCTGCTGGCTGGAACATTGCTGGGCCACCTCTGACTCCCTGACGGCTCCAAGCCTGGCCTGCACAGAAGGATTTTCACAAGACGGCCTATCTGTGCAGGAGGATGCTCGTTCGGGCGGCCTGATCGGCCTTCATGAGGATTTTCCTTGCCACAGGCCACGAGCGACGCGCCCAAAGAGGAGGAGGAGGAGGAGGAGGAGGAGGAGGAAGAGGAAGAGGAGGAGGAGGAGGAGGAGGTGGAGGAGGAGAGGAGGAGGAGGAGGAGGAGGAGGAGGAGGAGGGTGAACGTCCCCTGAGGAGCCCCCGTGCCATTACTCGAACCGAAGGCGCTGCACAGCGAGAGAGCGGAAGCGAGCGGCAGCGGGAGACATAACGTAAATGTGACGGGGAGCGCCGGTATTTCCATTCATGGCGTGGTATGTGTACAAGGCGAGGGCGATCGAACGAAGAACTTAACCGAGTGGATGCTGACCCTGATGCCTGAGACCCCCGCCCAACCCCAAACGAACTAAAACATCCCCACTGAGAGGGCGCTGATGATCAGCAACCAAGCCCCGTAAACGCTCGCACGTTACAGAATGTCGAATGATATTTTCACTGCTCGGGCAAGGCATGAAACATGCGGTGGAACCAGGGACAGCGTGCACACGGAACTTGTGGTCCAGGCTCCACAGGAAGAGTCTTCAGGGTGCACCATCTCAAAGCTGGTTTGACATTGACAAAAAACAACAACAACAACAACAACAACAACAACAACAACAACAACAACAACAACAACAACAACAACAACAACAACAACAAAAAAAAAAAAACGCAAGCATGCCCATATATCCTCAAGGCCCTGTGGGATCGCAATATCAAGAAACCACATTCAGAGCCACCAGCGCAGAGCGTCGGCAACTTTGTCGGGGGAAAGCGCTACGGTAATCTCGAGCATCGCCGCGCGCTGAATGTGTGGTTTCCCGCCTCCCCCGGACGAAGACTCAGAACAGACGGCATCCGCCCTGAAAGCAGTCCGCAGCACGGGAGCTCAAACCGTGCAAGTAGGATTGCGACAGACGCACTCGATGTGACGTGTGGATGCGAGCCGCTGCACGATAGCAGCGGGCTCGGCCCGCCATGCAGGAGACCTCTTCTTCGCAGGAAGACAGGGCAGCGTGGCTCCGTGAGCGGTCGCCTCTTCCGGGCGCCGACGCGCAGGACGCCGTCCCGTCAGAGCGGCGGAGCAGGCGCGCCAGAGCCAGACTGCACACAACGCAACTGCGCAGCTGGGCCCGCCACCTGGGCACCGCGGACGGGGCGACGGCAAGGCCGCCTTCCCCATGGCATCGGGAGGCTTACGCTGCAACGCGCGCAGGCCGCGCGCCCCACGTTTGATGAGACGCGGGACGGGATGGAACAGCTGGGCAACACGGCTAAGAGTGGGAAAAACAGACAAGGCATGCAAGACGGCGAGAGCAGAGGGCGGCACGCGAGCAAGGCGAGCAGGATGAATTCTAGCCACGAGTTCCCCGCGGACTACTGCCACTGCATATGATTCGCAGCGGCAGGGCCGATCCGGGTCCCGAGGTACCCGGCGACTCCAGCGACCTGGAACTTCTCCCCAGCGAGGCCCAGCTGCAGGAAGGTCACGGCGAGCGAGGCCGCCGACCTCACCAGACCGAGAGGCCCCCGGAGGAGCGGCAACACACCTCTTGGCATGCAAACTTGCGCGAGCTAACCTCTCCGCGGCACCGAGGGCAGACGCTGGCTGGCTCGGAATGTCATGAGTCCGACAGCGTCGGCGCAGGCTCGGGCCGCGCCGTGGCTCAGGGCGGGGGAAGCACGCTGCGGGCGGCGGGGAAGGGGGGGTCCACAGCCAGAGCCCAGGGAGCTGTACGACGGTGGGCATCCTTGGAGCACCCCGCCGTCCAGCTCGCACGTGGACCCCAACACCCAAAAAAACCTGGCGAGCGCGACCGGGGGCAGCGCGCATCGCCCGCATGGCCCAACGAGTCCGTAGAGGAAGCCCATCTTACACCAGGACAAATGCCCCGGCGGGCGCGGCAGGGATCGCCGAAGGCAGCTCCGAAAGCGAAGGAGAGGAACAGAGGACGGCGGGCGGGACCCTGTTCGAGCCGTCCAGCCCGACGCGCCTCGGCATCGAGTGGAAGCGTGCCCCCTGCAAAGTTGCGCCCTTGGACGCAGCCCTGCTGGCCGAGCTGCACGCGCTCGGCAAGCGGAGGCTCAATGGTGTGATTGCTAGCCGAACTACTTACTTGACATTCGAACTCCTGCAGCTGAGCGGGCGCAGGTCTTGACACAGCCTGGCAAAGCGAGTCCGGTCACCGTCTTCTTCCCACTCTGGCAAGAAACCGAAGAGCGGGTGACCAGCCTCAAGCGGGAGGAAGCATCCAGCATGCACATGCTCAAGCACCCAGTGGAAACACTCGGCGGCGCACGGACGAGGACGCCAGGCAGCGCGCGGGAGTCAATCGGGGCCAGGCGCACTGGGCTCGGCTGTTCTGAAAAGCATGGGCGAGGGCGGAGACAGAGGGCGCCGGGGCATCAGTGGCCGGAGAAGGGGCAGAGGGCCGTCGCAGAGAGGAAGTGGAAGGACTCCCTGAGCATCTCTCCACGGCGCGGCAGAAGCAGATTCCCCACGCGAACGGACCGCTCCAATCGGAGACATCCTTCACATTGGCTGCGGGGGGGGGGGCCAGCGCGGAAGGGATCCTCGCGCGCGCGCGCGCTCGGATGCCTGCGAGCCTCCACTGTCTGGCCCACGAGGTCCGGGAGTCTCGACCTGCGGGCGCCTCGGCGATCCGGCTCGCGCGGACAAGGCAGCCTCGCGGCGGCGCCCGCTCGCGTCGGAGCTCCCAGCACGAGCAGACGTTGCGAGGGCCCTCGACTGGTGTTGTGGATGCCACGATAAGGGGGCCACATGCGAACCCTACCCCTGCCCCCAGAGATTTCTGAGGGGGAGGGTGGGGTTCACTTCGCTCTGGAGCTCCCGAGCGAAGTGACCCCCACCCTCCCCCCCAGAAATCGTGGGGGGTAGGGGTAGGGTTCGCATGTGGCCCCCGACACGACCATGGACACCCTAACAGTCCGATCATCGAATTAAAGATGTGTTAAACATGTCGGAGCATGTCCTGGAAATGTTTAAAACATGTTTTGAAACATTGCAAAACATGTTTAAGACATGTTTTAGACATCTGGGAATTATTTGGCAACATGCTTCCTCTCCATTGATCGTCCTCCACAAGACTGGTGCCTCTTGACACCAGCAGCATCGCACGGCGCATGGAAGGAGGGGGGGGCCGCGCAGAGCGACGCCGCTCCCAACGACGACGAGGTGCTCAGCGGCGGGAGGGGCGGAGGCGACGAGGCGGCTGGCTGCGCGCACGTCGCTGCACCACATGGCACGAGACATGGGCCCGCATGCGCACGGTCTCGAAGTGGCTGCCTCGGGAGGCCCGCCCCTGCATTGATCAGGCCCTTGCGACCGACCTCCTGCCGCCGCCGCCGCCAAACGGGGGAATCGATGCCGTCCCCGGCGTCGACTGCAGGCAGCTCCGAGAAGTCAGCAGTAGCAACCGTGTTGCCAAATACATGTTGGAACTGCACTGCGCGAAACAGACAGGCAGGAATGGCTCTCCCTTCTTGCGGCCTCGTCCGAGCAGGCTGCAATTTGCGCGACAGCATGGCACGGCCAGAGCTGCGCGCTTTCGCGCGCTATCTGCAGGACGACTTCCCACCAGGGCACGAGGGCAACCCAGCCATGCAAACGCGATCCATGCACGAGAGCTGCAGACGATTAGCATCGAAACGAGTGCGCAAATCACGGGCGAGCTCAATCGTGCTTTCAAACATGCGCCTCCATCTGGCCTGGAGGTATTGGCCCCTGTTGTCTATGACTGGGAGAGAAGCAGCAGCCTGAGCAGCGGCAGGATTCGGGGGAGAGGAGAAGCTGCGAGGAAGAGCCTCAAAGAAATCGAAATCCGCTGTATACCGCCCAGTTGCGTTCCTGGGACCAAAACCGCTCGATCTCGTTGACTTGCACCGCCGACCGATCATGATTG